CGTTTCTCTCCTCCTCTTAAGGCCCTTCCCACATTTTTCATTCTCTCATCTTCAGAAACTTTTAATGTCCTTTTGTGTTTTCATTTATTGCTCCTTCTGACATGTTTTATTTTAAATTTGTCTCCTTTCCTCGGTCAGAATGCATCTCATTTCTTCCTGATGTTTCTTTTGCTTGCAGACATAGATAAATGTAGACTTTCTCTTCCCCTGTGTTCTCTGTTTTCCCAAGTTTTTAAAGAAAGGTCCAGTACCCCCCTCCCCGCCCCCTCCCCCTCCGCTTGCTGAGTATCATGTTTGGCTTTTAACTGAAGGACTTGGCTCCAGCTCAGGCCTCATACATCAATAATCTGACTGCAATTCTCCAAATAAATATTGGGCCCTGAAGGAGGCTCAGCACCTCTGGGTGTTTGGATCTTAATCTAAACACAGAGACAGAAACTGAAAACATGTTTGGCAGCAGGACTGGAGGCATTTTGTCTGTAATTATCACCAACAAAGAAGTTTAATGTTTATCTAATTGTTGTGTTTTCCGCACGGTTTTAAGCGCGGCCACATTTGTGGTTCACACGGCCATTCTGCAGAAATGTAAAACCCATGAGAGCGCAGAGAAATATGTGGAGCTGTTTAAAGCCACCGCATCCATCCAGCCCCCAGCTCAGAGGGAAACCAGACTTACAGTCTGAACTTTGCAATTTAACTTAAAGCTGGTTTGTGAAATTCTCCAGATGGTCGTTGTGACAGTTGGATTCAGTCCAGCTGATGTTCAGGATCCCCTCTTGGGTTGATCTCTGCTGCCGCTGCTGCAGTAGATTATGAAAACATCTACACTGCTTCCTCTTCCTGCTACGTTTATCATGTGGACACCAGGAGAGATTCACTGAAGACATGTTGGTGGCACCAGGCTGGACTCCCTTTCACCCTGAAAGCCGACCAACTAACAGCAACATCACTGGACCAGAAGTTTGTCCTGGAAATGAATAGAATTTAAGATCCTCCTTCTCACATATAAAGCCTTAAATGGCCAAGCTCCATCTGATATCAGAGATCTGATTGTTCCTTATGTTCCTAACAGAGCACTGCGCTCTCAATCTGCAGGTTTACTAGTTTAAGGCTAGGCTTAAAACTTTCCTTTTTGATAAAGTTTATAGTTAGAGTGGCTCAGGTTATCCTGAGCTATCTCTATAGTCATGCTGCTATAGGCTTAGACTGCTGGAGGACATAGGGACCCCTTTTTCATCATTCTGCTTCATTCTATTTCTATTCTCCCACTCTGCAGAATCTGTTAGTTCAATCTCTAATGTTCTGCTCTCTCTGCTTTCTCTTATTGTAGCTCAGCACAAATTAGAGGGTTTGTTGCAGCCACTTTATTACCATAAATTGACCATGGGGACATTATTTATTTAAACACTACAGTTGGCATCTCTATATGATATAGAGGCTGTTTATGAGGAATACTGACATTCATCAGAGGGTATTTAAAAACTCTTTCCTGTAACTTTCGTCGGGAAATTATTGTAATTTAGAATCAAACTAATCTTCTTTAATGAACCACATTTGTTCAGCAAACTTATGCTTTTCTTTACAGAGTAATGCATTAAGCTGTGATGCTGCATCTTTAGCATGTTACTGTCTCTAAATATTATAAGTGAGAATAAAAGACTGCCTCCACTCCTCCTCACCCAGAACTTCTAGATGTGCTCTCTTCATCCTCTGACATGGGAGCTGGCTCGGAGCTCGTCTGCCTGGCTGTGTGTTTCCTGGACGGGGCCGCCTGTGAAGCTGGTTGACAGTTGCATTTTGTATCTATGCTTCTTTTTCTATGTCTGCTTCTGTCTCCTTGAACCCCAGTCGGCCTCAGCAGATGGCAGCTCACACTGAGCCTGGTTTTGCTGGAGGTTTCTTCCCGTTCAAAGGGAGTTTTTCCTCTCCACAGTCGCTACAAGCATGCTTAGTGTGAGGGATTGCTGAAGAGTCAATGAGTCGATGCAATCAGCCGGTTTTCCTTAGATAGAAAACTTTGAATCAATCTGACTGATGATCTGGTGAACTGGAAAGTGACCTGAGATGACATGATGTGAATTGGAGCTATAGAAATAAACTGAATAGAGTTAAAATGGAAGGTTGCTGGTTTGAATCCAGGCTCAGTCATCAGCCATGTTTCCATCAACCTTTCTTTGTCCCTTTTGAATGATCACATCAGAAGAGCTTGATGGAAACAGCTAAATTTCAAGTCGTTGTTGCGTAAAAGCTTTTCACACTTTCTTGATGCGGCTTTTGACTTTTTTTAAAAGGAGAAAAAGAGCAAGAAGAGGAGATAGAAACACATCTGTTGGATAAGTTGTGATTTAGTGAATGTTTGCTTCAAAGGCCTGGTGTGGTGTTTCTGCTGCGGCTGGCGTCTTTAATGCATCACATTTCTCTCTCCATGTCTCCAGTTAGCCTGATTAATACAAGCTGCTGTGATAAAGTCAGTAAAACTCCCCTGATTGCAACACGTTCATTAAAACTCCAGTCCATTACTGATCTGTGGTTCTTGCTAGCTCGCTGACTCTACTTCCTGTTTATTACAGCCAATGGGATTTACCATTAAGCAATACTAAGAAGTTGCCTAGGGCCCCAAGTACGTGTGGGCCCCATAAAACTCTGTTTACAACTATTCCTTACTTGTGCACATTCATTTCATACCCTCTTTCAGACCCCTCTAGCACTTTGATTTCTAAAAAGCTCCTAGCACCAAATCTAGAGACTTTTTTCTGCTGCTGGAGACTTTGGAGACAACATCTAAAAGCAGCGAAGCAGCAAGTAGATTGGTAACCCCGCCTCCTGCTCTCCTCTATCTTGTCTGCTGTCATGATTCATGCAGCTATTATTTCATCCAAATGAAAAATGGAGAACAGAGAAGCAGATCATGGCTTGTCTACAGTGAAAAGAAGGACTGGGTTATTTACTTTGGCCTTTTTGGAAACACAGGAAGGAGCAATCAGCTAAGTGAGCTTAGTGCTTGGAAAAAATCTTTCATTCCTTTAGAGACAGCATGAAAAGTCAGCTGAGTACAAAACATAGAGAGGAAAACAAGAAGAAAAGGGACAAGAAGAGAGGGACACAACCTAGAACAGATAATGGATGTCTATTCTATTAACATTTCTCTATCTGTAGAATGGGGCTGTTTGATGTCTTCTCCATTCAGAGGGGCCCCTGCCTGTCTTTTCCCAGGGCCTTAAATGTCCCAAATCCACCCCTGGCTTGAAGCTACAGAACAGAGCAGATAAACATCCAGAGCGTCGAAGCAGGAAGGCAACTTGACACCAGTTTGATCAGCATCCAGATTTCTGTTTTCAGAATGCCTTCGATGTGAACACAGCTTAACAGCTTCATTAGGGGTTGTAGATTTTTAATTATGTGATTTCCACTTGAAGACAGTTCTTGTGTTCTTGAACATTTTTGATTTTAACTTGTAGATTTTTTTGTTTTGTCTTGAGAATCTTTGATTTTTGATTTGATTTTTTCTCAATCATATTAGTTTTGTCCTACTGTTTAGTTCCAAAGTAGTAAATTTTATTTGTAATGTCTATACTTGTATTTTCAGGAATGAAACATCTGATGTCACATGTAAATATTGGAAAGCAGAAGACGTAAAAACAAATCATATATTTCTCTGTATTTATTGACATATTAACGTACTCTGACCTCTACTCATACAGTTCTTTCCACCCAGAGAAATCCTTTAAGAGGAATCTATGTGATTCAAAAAAACAAAAACAATAAGAAATATAAGGAAGTTTATAATACTGATCGTCACACAAAGTCAGACACTGGCCCAGTTTTCCCACATGCTGCATCAGCTGGCACATTCTCAGCGCTCCGACACATGGCAGCTAGAGATAAGAGGCATCCTGTTTATGCCCATCCACTCCCTCATTGAACACCCACTCTGACAGCTGATGGTGCATGGGGGGGGCGTGTCTGCGCTGTGTGTGTTTCACACATACAGTATCAGTCAGTCAAAATGGCCCATCCCAGTCAAATGCCAGCCAAACAGCAATCCACTCCCCTCCAACTTCTAGCCACTATAGTGACCCCCCCTCTTGCATATTTTTTCCTCTGACTCCACCCTTTCACTGAATTAGAGGGTCTGACCAGGAGGTGGCGCTTCTCTTTAGATCTTAGTGTCCACAAATCATGACAGAAAGAATATTTTACTACAAAGATTGATGTTAAAAAAGAAATTGTAGGGGACCAGCCAAGGACCAGCCAAGGACCAGCCAAGGACCAACCAAGGACCAGCCAAGGACCAGCCAAAGACCAACCAAGGACCAGCCAAGGACCAGCCAAGGACCAACCAAGGACCAGCCAAGGACCAACCAAGGACCAGCCAAGGACCAGCCAAGGAACAACCAAGGACCAACCAAGGACCAGCCAAGGACCAGCCAAGGACCAACCAAGGGCCAGCCAAGGACCAGCCAAGGACCAACCAAGGGCCAGCCAAGGACCAGCCAAGGACCAGCCAAGGACCAACAAAGGACCAGCCAAGGACCAACCAAGGGCCAGCCAAGGACCAGCCAAGGACCAGCCAAGGACCAGCCAAGGACCAGCCAAGGACCAACCAAGGACCAACCAAGGACCAGCCAAGGACCAGCCAAGGACCAGCCAAGGACATACCAAGGACCAGCCAAGGATCAGCCAAGGACCAACCAAGGACCAGCCAAGGACCAACCAAGGATCAGCCAAGGACCAGCCAAGGACCAGCCAAGGACCAACAAAGGACCAACCAAGGGCCAGCCAAGGACCAGCCAAGGACCAGCCAAGGACATACCAAGGACCAGCCAAGGATCAGCCAAGGACCAACCAAGGACCAGCCAAGGACCAACCAAGGATCAGCCAAGGACCAACAAAGGGACCATCCAAGGACCAGCCAAGGACATACCAGGGACCAACCAAGGACCAGCCAAGGACTAGCCAAGGTAAGTGGGGAAATTTTGAATGGCTGCTACTGTAGAGCTACATTTACAAAGGTTCTGCAACTGTTATAAAGCCTGTATAACTGTAAAATTTGAACATTTTGTAAAAATATTTCAAGCGTGAGACGTTTACAGGTATTTCTATTTAAAGATTTATTTTATTTTTATTTTATCTATTTTATTGGCCAATTCTGGCATGTGTTGTTTTAAATATTGTCTCCAACTCTTCCAGACATCATTAGTCCATCTCCAATCTATCCATGCAGTTATTTCCTCTATAACATAAATACTTGATTTTACATCAATCCATCCTTCTGTTGGGATCTGGAGTTGTTCCACCTTTCCCCAGCAGAGTGCGCCGTGGGTTCTCTGGGCTGGAGCTCACCAGCACACCTGGAGCTCGTCAGCCCATTAGAGGACCCCTCTACTTAAGCAGATGCCAGACCTTTCTTCGACGCCGCAGTGTTAGCTAAGTTTAGTTAGCGAACCTGAGCCTCCTTGTCTTTAAATTTTGTCCCCTAGAGAAAACCGTATTCTAACCAGCCTTTGTCTTGTCGCTCCTAAGAAAACCTGTCTCTCGTGTGAAGCTCTGGGAGAGCTTAACCTGAATCTGCCTGCCTGCCCTAGAGAGCCAAACCTGAAGATCTCACTTTGGAATCCACCTGCTGCTCTCGGAAGGAGAGCTAACCCCTCAATCCAAGGTCTGATCCAACAGTCAGAAGTTAGACGCTGCACCTGCTGAGCACTTTGTCAAACCAACAGTCTCTGGACCCAACCGGTTCCCCCCCTCTGAGAAGAAAGCCTGAAACTCTCCAAGGTATAATCTGCAATAATCAGAAAACTAAGCAACGCTTCCTATCCACCTGGTTAACCAAACTGTCATCTCTGCAGACGCCTGAGAATCCAGCCCGGACCTGTTTCCTGAACGCAGTCTAATTTTGTGCAAACATTTAATAAACTCTGTTAAACTTTTCATCTGTCTACTGGTAGTGTTCTGCATGTGGGTTTGATTCAGAACCAATCATGACACCTTCCACTGTAGGAGTACTACGCCATCTTCTGGTTATTGCCTTTTTAGCAGCCAGAAGCAGTATTCTCAACATTTTGTCATCCTTCCCTCTTTTTAAATTTAATGTTCCAATATTACCAGGAGACATTATATCAAAACAATGGGGAATTCTAAATTTTTATTTTGAACCAAAGTAGCTTTATTAATGGGCAACCTCCGAATATCTGTTTCTCCAGCACCACAGCATCTCCAGCTTTGGGAATCACCTGAACCTGATTGAGTTCTTCCAGCCATACTCTCTCCAAACGAGTGAACATGTGGTTTTCCATTCATATTCATTAATCATCTCCCAGTCTTTCTCTAGCACCTGAATATTTGCTTCCTTCTCCGAACTAAAAAATTATAATGCTGCATCCTCTCTTCTGTTGTGGTCTGGCTACAGCACCGCATCCACAACACAAACAATTTCCTTGGCCAAGAGGCGGGAAAAATATCACCCAGCAAGGTGATTCCAGCCATTATAATTTGTTATTGAACAAATTACAATCAGTTGGCTTATGTGCAAAGGCTGTTACATGGTTCCAGAATTATCTTGTAGATCGTACACAATGTGTCCATGCAGAAGGTTATAAATCTGAAATTCTTGAGATAACCAAAGGGGTCCCACAAGGATCTATTCTGGGGCCCATTCTGTTTTCAATTTTTATAAATGACAAAAATACATTTATATGCTGATGATACAGTGGTTTGCACTCACGCTCCCACCACTTCAGGGGCTGTACAGGAACTTCAGGTTGCATTTCAGGCATCACAAAATACATTGTTAAGTTTAAAATTGGTTTTAAATACACAGAAAACAAAGTTTATGGTTTTCTCAAAAGCTCGATCACAGCTACTTGACAAATGTAGTATCTTGTCCTTAGATGGGAAATCCATTGAGAGAGTGTCTTCATACAAGTACTTGGGAATATGGATAGATGATAAGCTGTCTTTTAAAGTACATATCAATACATTAGTGAAGAAGCATAAAGTAAAGCTTGTTTTTTACTTCAGAAATAAATCTTGTTTTACCTTCAGTGCTAAGAAGCAACTTGTAGAAGCTACCTTTTTGTCTGTGATTGATTATGGAGATATATTGTACATGCATGCTGCATCCTCCATCTTGCGTCATATTGACTCAGTGTACCATGCATCATTACGATTCATTACAAATTCTAAGTCCCTTACTCATCACTGCATTCTTTATGATCTAGTTGGTTGGACATCACTAACAATTCGTAGAAAACAGCTCTGGTATATCTTTATCTATAAAGCAATACTTGGTAAACTCCCACTGTACCTCTGTAACCTCCTCTCTGTGAGTTCCGGTAGTTATCAGTTGCGCTACTCTCAGTGGTTACTTTTTAATGTACCCCGAGCTTCAACTGAGTTGGGAAAAACTGCATTCTCCTACTCTGCACCTCGGTGATGGAATAACCTCCAGAAAGAGCTGAAATTAGAAACTCTCGTGTCCATTAATGAATTTAAAGCAACCATGAAGAATGTAGTGATGGAGATATGTGCTTGTTTTTCCTGAGATGCTCAATGTGTTTTAACATACTGCTCTGATTTTATTTTTTATTTTATTTTTTATTCTTTATTTCATATTTTGCAAAATGTAATATGTGGTAAATATGTATGAACTTCCTGTGGTTTGGCTGCTACCTTGGCCAGGTCTCTCTTGAAAAAGAGATTCTGAATCTCAATGGGACTTCCTGGTTAAATAAAGGTTAAATAAAAAAAAATAAAATAAAGCATCAGCTGCTATATCTCCACTTGGGCCACCTACCTGATCTGGTGGAAGGAGTGAATCCTTCCTAGTCTGGAAAAATAGTTAACTGCTGTGTAAGAGGATGCTTTGTAAAGCAAGAGCAGCATATTTCTATTCACTAATAGAGGAGAATAAGAATAATCCTAGATTTCTTTTTAATACAGTTGCCAAACTCACCCAGAGCCATAGCTCTGTTGAACCGTCCATTCCACAGGATCACAAAAGATCACAATTCAAGTTCAACGCACAGCCTACCTGGAAAAGATCAAACAACTTGAAGAAATGTTAGAAAATGCACCTAGCATGAAAGTAAAATGTGAAAAGGAAGAGAAGGGACAGGAAAAGGCAGTGGAGTTCCTTCATAAGATAAAATTCTTAAAGAAGCAAGCTAAAAATACATCTTTGGTAGAACGGCAGCTTAGACTGAAATGTGAGTACCAACTTAAGACTTAAAATGCACTTGATACGAAATCCAAGGAACAGCAGAAAAAAAAATCAAGAAACTGCAGGATCACGCTGTAAATCTGACTTTTGGAGATGAATCTTGCTTCAAAAGAGGGTTATCACAAAGTCTCCACCCAGAAAGATTCAATATAAGAAATTGATTACTTACCCTTACCTGCCTCCAATCAGCTTTGAACCAATGTTGTCGCAAAATTTAGATTTCTCTTATTTCATATATTTATTTATGCTATTTACTCACTTTAAAAGTTTTCACTCAGCCTCTTTCACCTGTAAGGCCACACCATTCTCTGCAGAATGTTGTTTGTAGACCAGACGTACCTTCTTCTATAACAAACCAGATTCTTTCTCATGTTTATTCATAACATGTTGCTGTTTAACCAAAGGATCTGTAATCAGTTTAAACTCTGACTACTTTCCATTGTTGTAAGTAAGGAGGAACGAACGCTGCTCTAGCAGAACAGAGCAGAATGCTGTGCCATTAGGGCTGTATGATGAACTGTTCTCTCTTTGCAATGATATGAATAAATGTGCCGACTGAGTGAAATCCATTGATCTCCGATTATCTAATTAGGATGAATAGTTGAATACTTTTTTCCTAATACAATTCTGCCTCCACTAAAGTCAATCAGCATCCAGAGTTCATCATAAAAGGGTCTCACAATCCACAGTCAGTCTGCTTCCCAAAGTGCCGGCGGTGGTCGCGCTGAGTCTGACTTCATTCAGATGACCTGGATTCAACCGCCCTCCAGCCCCTCCTCTACCCTCGTAGCTAAAGCTTCATCAGAGCGTCATTCCTCCTGGACTCTTACTGCGTTCCTCTCATCTAAACCGGTCCGGCAGAAGACCGCCATGTTGAACCTGGTTCTGCCAGAGGTTTCTTCCCAACGGGGATGTGATGGAGAGCAGAAGCTCCATCCCTATTAATTGATATTTATTTATAGAACAGATAGTTTTTGTTTCATTTCTTTATTTCAGTTTGTGTTGTGTTGTGTTAATTGGGGTTTACCTTCCTGGTGTGTCTCCTTAGAAGGGTGGAGCATACCATGTGAGCTAAGAAGGATAATGCTCTAAAGTTAAGTTATATTAGGTTTGATTTAATTTCTTTATTGACTTTAGGATTAGTTGTTTCTAAGTTGCATGCATGTAAATATTTATTTGTACCCTTTATTTTGTGTTGGGTTTGTAAATAATTTATTGTTGTTTTGTCACCCCTTCACCTGGTGTGGAGTGGGAGTGGCCAAGAGCTAAAGCCAGCTGCTGTGCTTGGCAGTAAAAAAATGGGTGTCGGTGTATTGGTGAACTGCAGCACCAATAAAACATATTCCACCAAATCTTGTTGCGCTGCCTCACCTCCTTCGCAGTGCCGCCCTCGGAGAATGACAGGGGAGTTTTTCCTCTCTTCTGTCACTTTATGCTTGCTCATCATGGACAGGTTCTCTCAACCTGTATTATTCAAGCTTTACTTCCATCTTCCAGGTCCCTGAGTGAAGCTCTAGTATCAGCTCATGCAGTCCACTGGATCTCCCCATAATGCTCAGCAGACCGTCTCTCCAACCAGCAGCCTACAGACTGACCAACTCCATCTATCTCCACTCCACCACCAGTTTCAGGACTGGGGGGGAAACAGCCCTGTTCTTTACTGCTATTCATGCATAGCAAATAAAATTCAGCACTAATGTTTCCTGCCGAGGTCTGAGCGCCAAAGACTAAAGTAATTGTATCAATAAAATTCTTCTAATTGTCTTTCTTTCTGCCTGAGTTTTTCCGATTGAACTCTAATCAAACAGACGTCTAAAGTCATCACAGATCTCAACATCATCACAGGTCCCCATCAAAACGCAGGAATCTCCAAAAACAGGCCAACATGCAAGCAGTCTCCCCCCATGAAGATAGTGGCTCCCAGAGATACAGAAAACAGTATAATAATAGAGGCATCCATGCAAAGCCAGCGTTTCAGCCAAATGCACAGAGTTCAAACCCCCATATGGAAGTCCTCAAGGAAACCAAGTCTTATGAAAATCAGGGACCATTCCCAAACCAGGGCCTACATGCAAACCCAGGATTACACCCCAACCCGAACCCTAGGTCCATACCCTAACCTGGGCCCCTATCCCCATCGAACCAGTATGCAAAGCAAGGCCATCACCAAAATACAGGAGATTTCAAACTCACAGAGGCCCCTAAAGGCAACAGAAGGCCTCCATGCAAGAAGATGGATTTAAGAAAATTATTACAAAATATTATTGAAAGTAAATATATATATATATATATATATATATAAAGACAACTGCAAAATCATTCAGAAAACAAAAATGAAACATAAAAGAGGGAGATCAAACCTGAAAAATGGCCTCCAACATCTAAACTTCCTCTGATGAGTAATTTTAGTAAACAGGCGGCTTTTCTGTGGAACATTGATTAGCATTGCAGTCGTGGAGTAGGAAGGTACCAGCCTGTAAAACTTGACCTGCGGGTTCTCCTCATGCATGTGTTGGTTCTCTCTGGGTGCTCCAGCTTTCTCGGCTGTCCAGAAGCATCATATTATGTTCTTTGGTCTCTCTATAGAGTGCCCTTGGTTTGAATGCATTGTTCTTTCTCTGTATTACTCTATAATGGACTAGTGACCTGTCTAAGGTGCACAGCTCCATGACCAACATCTGTAAAAGACAAA